ATTCAGTATATTAATTCGCAATTCTGTTCGTGATTACAAGAACTCTTTTTTACTACTGATCGACAACAACCAGTGATCATTTAACATTTAGTGTTAGAGAACATTGTAACAGTAATATCACATTAATCAAAAATAAAGAGAAATAAATTAATTTATATGTATTTTTTCCTATATAATTGCACAATTCCCAATGATATTTGTTTATTCATCACATTTAATTACTAAGCAACAACAATTAATATTAAACATTGAAGTCATAAAATATAAAGGTAATATAATTACCACAATTATGTGTTTCACTTTATTTCATAAATAGAAAAATTTTACTATTTTAGGCAAAAAAATTTTAGTATCTTCACAACTAGTTATGGTTACACTACTACAAATTCAATTAAAAATCCTACATCTAATATTGCAGATGATGGGATTCTGTCCTTTTATTTACGACAAAACTAAGCAGCGGTTTGTGAGATCACCAATACTTTGGATGTGCGTAAAGCTATATTTATGTGGTGTTGTCTTACCAGTAACAATTATTTCAAATGGAATTTGTTTAGTTTTTGGATGCTTTGCCTATTTTAAAACTGACGAAGTTTTCTTTAAAGTAGTGTTTTTACTATTTATATATTTTATCACCAAATGCTGTTTATTTAACATAGTTGCAGCTTACCATATTATATCAGACAATGAAGAGCTACGTGTATTTATGAACTTATTTTTGGAAGTATATCGGAATCATTTCAGTATTTTTAGAATGGATCCACATATCAATTGGTTTGCCTACATCGCATTAGTATTACGAGCTACCGTTTTTTTAAATATGTTCATATTTACTTGTTCTAGCTCTAAGATGTTTTTGTTGGAATTAATCACTTGTTCACCAACTATAGTGTTACCCTTCGTCAGTGCAGTTATATTAATGATATATAATGGAATTCTACAGGATGTATCATGTCTATTAAATGCAATATATAAAAATTTCACGAAAGCACAGTTACCTTTAAAGGATTTTCTTAAACTGTACAGAAATGTTTTAAGACTCCGTCCTTATATGGAGAAATTTTTAGGTGCTTCAATTTTGAATGAGATTTCATTTGAAGTGGCTTTGTACACCTACATTTTGCAAATATTTTTTGCTAAAAACGTTATTGTATTTAAAATTGTATTAACTGGTCTTACTTTTTTCGTAATTCTATGCTATTCGTTTATTGTTAATATTATTTGTGAAAATATATCAGACAGGGAATTGCACATAGAGAACGTTTTGCTACGATTACAATTTGAAAAATCGAACTTTCTGGATAATAATTGGAAACTGAAACTGGTGAACTTACAATAACCAATATAAAAAACTGGACTTTTATTTATTTTACTTTACTTTACTTTTACTATATTTACAGTTGGATATAATCTATATTGAGCGAATCACATTTTATCCAAAATACTTGACATTATGGAACCACTTTCCGTTAGGAAAGAATTCATATCTGCAAATGTTAGCTGCCATCTTTTCAAACGTTTATTTGGTGGCAAGTATGGGTTTGTCACAGAATAGGACTATATATGATTTGTTTGCTGCAAAGAATAAAGTATAAAAAATAAAACCACATCACATCTTATCCAATATTGTTAAAATTTTTTACTAAAAATTACAGTTTAATGTAATTGATATTAATCAGTGAAGTATGTATAAAAAATAAAATATCATCAATTGTCAATCACCAATGGTTCAGCGTTGTATCCATAGTGTGCAAGTTTTAACATTTCATTTGTTTTAGTATTTTAAGAATAATTTAAATTTTATATTCTTCTGGAAGAAATATTTTATCGTTCAACAATCAGTAACCAATGGAGAAATAATAAATAGAATTTTATATCGATGAGGAGATATAACTTAAATTATCAACTCACTTCCTAACAAATATATTTGTATTGTTATAATCTAGTTTAGAAATTCGAGCAATAAGATTATAGCGATACACCGTTGTTTTTTTTTAAATTATCGCTAACCTACAATTATGTAGGGAAATTAGAAGTATAAGGTGATTTCAAAGTATTATTGAAGTTCACTGAATGTTGATAAATTTGAAATCCACTTAACAAGTTGGGCTATACAAACATTTTAGCACCTCTTTTACCTTAAATGGTCATGACCTTTTAAATGGTCATGACTTTTAAATGGTTTTTTAAATAGTCATGACCTTAACTTCTAAAATAAATCGCCCATTTAAAAGAAATAATTGGCAACCCTTGATTTACGGCCTTGATTTGGATTTAATAAGGCACGGAAAACTATTTTCAAACGTCTTCAATCATCGGAATATTCTTTTCCGAAGACCGTTTCAACTATTATTGACATTTGTATGGATATTCGTACAATAACAAATTAAAAAGAAGCGTGTGTATTCATTGAACGCGGACTCCAAATCCAATTATTCAATGGAGTGAAATTCACATTAACAACATAATAATAGTAATAATAATAATAATAACAATCATACATATTCAATATAATCATCTAACCATAATTTTGTATTAATGTAATAAATAATTAATTATCACCTAAGAGAGGGAAATGTTTTTAATATATAGATCATAATGGCAGAGTATTAAAAACAACTCATATATGAGTTATTTTTTCCTAAATAAAATTAATTTTTAGCAGAGAACCTGACTATATTCTACATAATTAGAAGGCATCAACAATTAATATTAATCATTGAAGTCATTAAATACAAAGTGGATATAATTACTACAAGTACGAATTTATTTTATTTCAATATATATAAAAATTCTGGTAACATTGTAAAAATATTTTAGTATCTTCACAACTAGATATGGTTACACTACTACAAAGTCAATTGAAAATCTTACACTTTGGATTGCTGGTGATGGGGTATTGTCCATTTAGTTACGACGAAACAAAACAGCGATTTGTGAGATCACCTAAACTTTGGAAATATGTGAAAGTATGTCTATATGGTGTTGTCTTACCAGTAACAATCGTTTCAAGTGGAATCCTCTCCGGCTTTGTGTGCTATGCATATTTTAAAGCTGATCAGGTTTTTCCACAAGTAATGCTTATACTACTTTTATATATGCTTATCAAATACGGTTTATTCAATATATATACCGTTTACCATATAATATCAGATAACAATGAGATGCATATGTTTATGAATTTATTTTTGGAAGTATATCACAATCACTTCAGTTTATTTGGCATGGACCCACATATCAATTTGTTTGGCTACATCGCATTACTTTTCCGAACTATCGCTTTTATGTATATGCTCATCTTTTACTATTTTAATTCAATCGTGTTTCTTTTGGAATTAATCACTTGTCTACCAACGATAATATTACCCTTCCTCAGTGCATTTATATTGATGATATATAATGGAATTCTACAAGAAATGTCGGATCTATTAGATAACATGTATACTAACTACGCGGAAACAAATTTTCTTGTCAAGGATTTTCTTAAGCTCTATAAAAACGTTTTGAAACTTCGGCGTTACATAGAGAAGTTTTTAGCTGCTTCAATAATGCACGAACTATCATTTGAAGTGGTCTTGTATACCTACATGATGCAAGTGTTTTTTACTAAGTATTTCAAAATAGTTCAAATATTATATGTTTTCGTCACTTTTATCTTGCTTACGTGCTATTCGTTTATTGTTAATATTATTTGTCAAAGTATATCAGATAATGAGCTGCACATAGAAAATGTTTTGCTTCAGTTGCAATTTGAAAAATCAAAATATTGGAAGTTAAAAATGGTGAGCTTTTTTAACTAATATTAAAAAATTTGACATTATTTTTACTTTATTTATTTACAGTTTGATATGATCTATATTGAACGAATTACTTGTAGTGGACAATATCTTACCCTGTGGAACTTCTTTCCCTTAGGAAAGAATTTTTATCTTGAAATGTTGGCTTTAATTTTTTCAAATGTTTATTTAATGGCTAGTATGGGTTTGTCAGATAATCAGAATATATATGATTTGCTTTCAACGAATAAAAAAATTTAAAAAATAATACACGCCAAGTATGTAAAAATATTATACTATAATAAACTTCATTTATAGCTTTATATAATATGAATTTGTTATTAATATCTTTTATATTAAGAAATAAGGAATTGCAAACAAAAATGCTGAATGCTGAAAACTAAATACTGAAAAATGCTAGAGTATTTTTAATTTGACAAACTGTTCTTCTAAAAACAAATTAAAAAAGACAAGCTAGGCAAGCACTTGAGCATCCTAGACGATTTTAAATAATTGCAAGCTTAATCTTTACAAGAAATTGTCAATTGATAGGCAAATAATGAGCCACCTTAGCTCATGGCTATATTGCTCTTCACTAGGCTTCGAAAACTATACTTGAAGGCCTCCTTCCATCAAATACCAGAACACTATCTTTTCTGAAGACCATTTTCAATGCTTTTAAAACATACATAATGAGGATACATTGCTCTTTACAAGACTCCGAAAACTATACTTGAACGCCTACTTCCATCAAATACCAGAACACTATCTTTTCTGAAAACCATTTCCAATGCTACATATGAGATACATATGAGGATAAATCATAATATAAAGTTTAAATGTTGTCTTTAATGTCATATGATTTTAACGAAAGAACATACAATGATTTTAAACTCTTAACGACTATTATAACCTTGAAACAAGAGCTTATTAAAAAAATTTATATTGCAATATTTATATATAATATAAAACTTTATTAACCAAAATTTTTAATATTTAAACATATTGGTTTCATATACTTTACGGCATGATATAATCAAACCAATTTATTTAGAAAATTAATTTTTTCTGGTTTGATAATGAAAATAAATTGATTTATTGTGTAAGCCTTCTCCAACTGTGCTCGCATTTGATAAAGTTCTTGCACATCCGTAGAACTTCGAGTATCTAATTAAATTATATTAAATGTTATTTTAATTAATAGGATTATTTTTTGAAGATTAATTACTCTTTACCTTTGGCTAAATGTGTTGGTATGATATAAGCATTTTTCTGAGACTTAACTATAACCACATCAGTATTATTTAATTGTTTACCATCATGGAGAGAGCCCGATTCAATTTCTTGTGCACCACTGAAATCTTCCAAAGGTGGTTCGCCATTTGCTTCCAACAATGTGGATGCCAAAAGTTTTGCAGCTTCAATTGTATTATTTTGACTCGAGGTTAGCAGCGATGCAGGTTCTTCAACCATGAGAACTGCATCATTTGTTTGCTCTTGCTGATTGTCATCAGATGTTGATAATTGTTCTAATACCGATTTAGGTATTAATGAGGGTAGAAGAAATTTATTGTTTGTTTGCGGTCCAGTATATTGAAATGCTGTTTGTCCTGACGGTGGCGGCCCATAAGAATTAAAATTTTTGCTTTGTTGTATATTAGATTTCTTATGACTTAGTTGATTATTATTGAAGAAAGCTTCTGTATTGTGATGTTGTATATGAGTTTTATCACCTAAGTTTATAAACAAAGAATAAGAAGAAAAATGTGTTAATGTAGCAATTAAATTTATAATATATATAAATATATAAATATACAGGTGTCAGCAAAAAATTCAATTAATTAAATTAATATAAAAAATTAATTTTTGTTGTTGTAGTTCACTGCTATGCGAAAAACCTTTTGATAAAGAAAATATATAAAAACATATAAATAATATTAGATCTGAATTCAAGTTTAGGAAAAAAAACTCTACATATAAAAATTAATTCAGGCTTTTTTAGTTTCATACAATTGTATGAAATAAGATTAAGGTTTAAATCTATAGTTTATATAAGCTCGTTCCAATTTACAACGCGGCAAGTGCTTTAGTTAGTATCACTTAAAAAATTAAAAATTGGAAAAAAAAACAAATTGGAACTTGAGCATTGAAAGTTTGTGAAGCCTTGGCTACTAGTGAATGTCTAAGCATCCTAGACAGGCTCGAGTTCTAAGCCTGACACTTACAGTCCAAACAAATTATATACGAACTATAAACTAATTAAAAAGAAATTTGAATATTTTCTACGACCACTGATGATGAGTGCTTGACTATACTCGAAACATTGTTGTATGATCAACCAAATATCAATAAATTAAATAAAAGTTTTGTTGTTGTCTTTTTGTTTCTATTGGAACCGTTCTAGATTTTAAATAGTTTATTTTCGTTATAAGATGCATCAATTTTGACAAAAAGAAACTAACGATTGGAAGTAAAGTTGATTTAATAGCCCGCAATAGCACTAAACACTAAATTTAAAATATATTTTTGATTATAAAAAACAAAATTTTTAAAAATTAATAAGATAATTTACAATTAGAAAAAATATACCTTTGTGCTGGTTATTATAATGTAAGTGATTATAATATAAGAAAATCATCAGTAGCTCGTTTATGTAAAATTCTCACTTCGTTTTCTCGAACGATTTTCTCACTTATGACAATTACTCACTTGAAGCACGGTTGCCACTTATGGTACTTTAGTACCAAAATTGGTACTTTTTTTCGGTTTGGTACTCTGGTACTCATGTTCAAAAAATGGTACATTTTCGGCGACCCAACTTTATTTTGGATATTGTATTGTTTTATACTTTTTGTACATTTTATATAAATTGTATTTTCTTATAAAAAGACAATAGAAAAATTTTGGACCTTTTTTTACAGAAATGGTACCTTTTTAAACCAATTTTGGTACAGAAAAAAATTTTCAAGTGGCAACCGTGACTAGAAGTGTTTATGTAACTGTGGTGAATTGTTTTCTCACTTTTTTTCGTTCGAGTTTTTGTCACCTGTCAAATTGCTTGCGAGAAGTTTTGAATTTTGAATGAAAAAAAGTGAGTTAAAGTGAATAAATTTAAATTTTTGGTACAAGTGCTATTTGCAAGCACTAAGCAACCTTTTAAAATTGTTTTATTTTCGTTCAATTTTTTCAAAAAACGTTCCATTTTTTCAAAAAACGTTCCATTTTTTCAAAAAACGTTCCATTTTCATCAGTTTCTCTCATCACACCATAACGTTCTCGTGTGGTGAATTTTTCATGTTACATAAACAGCAAACTCGAAAGAAGTGAGAAAAAGCAAGTGAGAACTTTTCGAAAGAAATCGTTCGAGTTAAACTCGAACGATTTACATAAACGAGCTACTGATCTCAAGTATTCATATATTTTATTTGACTACTATTATTTGATTTAGATTCAAAAATCAAAAAGCCATTTGGAAATCAAATGAGTTTCTTTGCACATAATCTCATTATACTTTACTAAACTTTTTTAAAATTTCCAAATCATTAGGATTCTTGGAATTATCCAAAATCGAAACATTAAGGAAGCACTTAATGTTTTTGATGCCAAACCAAAAATGTATTAATAGTAAAGCAAAAATTAAAAATGTCTATACAACTGATATACAGGATATAGTAGTTCCACTATAATTTTTCTCCGAATTCATGAAATCTAGTTATGAAGAACACACACATTTCTTCATCAAAAGGTATGAATATATCGCAATTCGTTATTGAGTCAATTTGACTCAGTAAAAGCTCATTTTAATTGGATTCCGTGCAATTAGTTGGAATAATATTTTTTCTTTTGAAGGTAAGTGATGTGAATTATATTACATTAAGACCGAAAAGTTTTCGGAAATTCTCATTTAAAATTCGCGCGCTGTATATTTTTCGATATTTTAAGTTTATGTAGTTTGGCAGCACTGTCCTTAATTACTATGCCAAAAATGAGCGCGATCTGTCAGACAGTTCGTTTACGGCAGCTGTTGAAACCAGTTCACCTCAGTAGTGCGTTGCGAAAAAAACAATGGAAAAAAATATTGAACAAAGAGTTTGCATCAAATTTTGTGTTTCGAACGAAATTTCGTGTGCAGAATCGTTGCGAATGCTACAAAAGGCTTATGGGGAATCAGTTTTATCGAAAACTCAAGTTTATGAGTGGTACAAAGCCTTCCAGGACGGTCGTACGACCGTCGAAGACATTTCGCAACGCACTACTGAGGTGAACTGGTTTCAACAGCTGCCGTAAACGAACTGTCTGACAGATCGAGCTCATTTTTGGCATAGTAATTAAGGACAGTGCTGCCAAACTACATAAACTTAAAATATCGAAAAATATACAGCGCGCGAATTTTAAATGAGAATTTCCGAAAACTTTTCAGTCTTAATGTATATGTTACATATTTCAAATAATTTTATGATTAAAATAAAGTAGAATATTCAGTGATTTTCTTCGTTCTTTTTTTGCAATTGTGAATTAACAGGTCTAATACCTAAATCTGATTTGCACCCAAATAAAAGAGGTCGACTATTAGAATTAAAGAACTTATCAATAAATCTCCATTTAAAATTTTCTTAAAGAATAGCACGAATTTTTAAATAGTTTAAAAGTAATAATTATTTCACGAATACTTTAGTTTGGTGAAAGAACATCAGTATAATAAATATATATATATATATATATATAATGACAATATTAATATTCTTAAAAACGATCTGCCAATTTGTGTACACAAACTTTGATCAATAACATTTTAGTAAATTATTTTTGCAAAATCAAAATTCTGTTTTATATAAATAATTAATAGCTTTCAATCATTTTGTAACGTAATTTATTTTTTATTTGTTTTTTTTTTTATACAAAATTAATTAATCATCATCATTGTTAGCGTAAAAATATCCGAAGAACATATTCACATTGCAAATCCATTAATAAATGTTTTTCACTCAATTATTTCATAAATTCAATATTTAAGCATAAATATAAAAACACAAATAAATGCTCTATTATTTCATAAAATTATTAAATTATTAATTAATTAATTACATAATTTTGTTGTTGTAGTTCACCACTTTTCGAAACCTCTCTATAAAATTATATCTATTTTTAATAAAATTCTTTTAATTACCAAAATTCGGTGTTGGATAGGGTGGTAAATAACCTTTGGTTTGTAATCTACGAGGATATCGCCCACTGTTTACATTAGAAATTGTGCCAGCATTCACAATTAAAAAGAGTTGGTATAGAAAGGAAACCGAAATTAAGACTTTCATATTAAACGCCTACAAAATAAATTTTTATAGAAATATTGTAAAATAAATTCAATAATTTGATTACCATTTTCAAACTGAAAATTTATGTATTTTTCTTTAATATTTTATTACAATACACTTTATTATGTTATGTATTATTATTTTATGTATTTTAAACCACAAGCGTTGCTAATTGTTAGATGTGAACACGTATCGATCGAAAAGATAACAAAATTATACTAAACCAAAACGTTTAACATCAAGATAATTTATAAATTATTTTGTAAAATTTGTTTATTAAAAACATTTTTTCAACACATTCATATGAAGAGGAAATCATAAATATGCCTAGACTAAATTTGTACAAAAACTTCAATAAAAAAAAATTATTTTTGTAAAACATAAGTTAAATACTGAAATACAAATGAAACTGTCAAACGACCCTGGCATCCATTCAAAGGAAACATCTTAACAGCAGCCAAAAACAACCGCAACATGAAGACGAGCTCAGCACTGCAATCATCAACGTCAACAGCACTTCATAGTTCGACATTTGTCCAACGTTCATTGATCTCCTCTATGAGACCCAAACTGTTACCAAATCAAAAAGATACATTAAAGTTATAATTACTTGTAAGTTTATACATTAAAAATAATTGAAACAATTTTGGGCACTGAATGCGCTAAAAAGCGGCAAGATACGCCGCCTGTGAGACCTCCCGTTGCTCCTATTTCTTTTGATAATTGTTGTTATTTTTGGTGGCTGAAGTATCTCTCAAACTTAAGTACGCACTTCGTTAAAAAGCACCGAAATTTAAGTTGCTTTATACAGTTTTTTTCCTACTGATTAATTTGAACCGTTGATGAATATTTAGTGTTGAATATTTAGTGATGTACAATCATTTGTTTGAGTGTACGGTCAAATTGTTTTAAATTAAGCAAGAAGACAAGATAATAATGACACCAAGAAAGGCATCCAAAAAAAAAACCAAGCAAAAACGAAGATGGTAATAATTTGGGTCTTGTGTCTTAAAAACGGTTAATAATTTTATGCGCATGCAGTTCAAAAGTTTCAACTGCGATAAACGACCTCAAGTAAAAGTGCGAGTACTTCTTGAGGTTAGTGGTATTGAGACTTTTTGTTAATAAATATTGAGTTGTTTAACAATTGCTATTGATTCAACCTTGCTCGAAATATTGAAAAATATACAAACAAAAATTTATATAATAGAATATATTTAATTTATTTAATTTGATTTTTATTAGCATTTTATTTTGTACTTTATCATATTTAAGTCGTATTACAATTTTTAAAATTCAGGAGAGTAGCAAATACTTCGAAAACTTCTGTTCCGTTAGTTGAT